ATCATTCTTGCATTGAACTATATACCATACTGGAAGGAGCACAGGCTACCCCCTCCATTCGACAAAACGGTCAGACAAGGCGGCGACTTGGTACCGGATTTCTCTTTCTATCTCGTCTACTCTCTTAGCTGAAAACATTCGCCTTGCGCATACATATATACCATTTATATACATATAGGACAATTTGTTATTTATCTGTCAAGCATGGGAAAAATTTGTGGCCTAAAAAATTGTTTAAACAGCAGCGATAGCAATATGGAATTTTCTTTTCACAGGTATTAAAATTAAAATTGATAAATATATTATTTATATTTTATAATGTATAAATATATATAGATATATATGTATAATTATGTGCGTGTGTGCATGTGCTTGTGTATGTACATTTTATAGTATTTAATAAATATTTTTCAGCTTTCCTATGAAAGATAATAAAAAATATAAAAAATGGATAATGTCTATACCAAAAGATTTGTTGGACTTGCCCCTAAAACAGCACACATATATATGTAGCAAGCATTTTTCACATGATTCCTATGTATTACGAACAGCAAAAAATCTATTATTCAAAGATGCAAGTCCGTCAATTTTTTATATAACATCTAGCAATGATGCAGATAAAGAGAATATTGAGGTATGGTTTATTGAAAATATTTTAATTTACTATTGTAAAAATAAATTTTTCCCAGATACTGTCTATAACAGACACATTTTCAGGATCTCTAGGATCTTCTTCCAATTTTAGACATGCATTCTGTCTGGATTCTTATTATAAAATACACATACATACATATATATATATATATATATATATATATATATATATATATATATATATATATATATATATATATATATATATATATATATATATATATATATATATGTATGTATAATCAATGTGTGTATATAATTGAAATCGATTGTGTATATATATATATTTGAATCTGATTAATCGGGATGTATCTACGACTCAATTCAGCGATTGTTTCAATTATCTGAATATTGATATATACACAATTTTATGTATATTATATATATTTAGTTACGCTTTTATACTTGTACATATTGTAAGTTGGTAATATAATTAGAAGCATAAAAGTAAATATATTTGTCATTAAAGTTAATTTGTCATTCATTGCATCTCACAATAGACTGCTACATTTGATGTCACTGAGAAATGAACAATATTGAGAATATACACACTATAGTTTATCCAAAGAGACTGGAGTTTATTTTATGTTACAAATGCTTTGAAATGTGTTTTTTCTCTTTCTTTTCAATAAATAGAAAAGCAGTGAAAGAACGCTTTAAGGCATTTGTAACATTACGTACAGATGTGTGTGATAGCTTTAAATATATATCTTAATATTTTAATATGTGCGTGTGTGTATAAAATATTTATTTGATTTTGGTAGAGAAAAACAACTAAAAAAATATTAGATAAACAAGTGGATGAACAAATGGATATTTGCATGCTTAATTCTAATGTAATAAAGACGGCAACAGAACAAGAGCGAAGAGAAGGTGAATTATTGAAAAAAATACACATTTTACAAAAACGTTTACATCGTCGAGAAAAAACTATTAAAACAACACGGAACATTGTTGAAACGTTTAAAACGAATCATGACACAAACTCAGATCTGGAAAAAAATATTACTGAATAATTTTAGTGGTTCTAAGTTACAAATTATTTTAAATGAATATCATAATAATAATGTTGTTTCAACGCAAAGACGATACACGCAAGAAATGAAACAATTTGCATTAACACTATATTTTTATAGTCCTAAAGGATATGACACGCTTCGAGAAACATTGTGTTTACCACATCCGTCGATGTTACGAAAATGGCTTGGAAATTATAATTGTGAAGTAGGTTTTCTTTCGGAAATTTTTAAATATTTAGAAACAGAAATACCACAAAAGCAATTTTTGAAAGAGTAGCTTTAATATTTGACTCAATGGCAATTCGTACTCAAATTATACATGATATAAAAACCGATAAAAACAGAGGCTATGTTGATTATGGTGATATCTTAAATATTGATTCTCAAGATTTAGCTACAGAAGTATTAGTTTTTCAAATAGTTTCATATACAAATAAGTTTAAATGCCCAATTGCATATTTTTTTATTAACAAAATAAATGCAAATATGCAAGCACAACTAATAAAATGTGCAATTGAAAAATTATATGAAGTAGGCGTAATAGTACGTTCATTAACATGTGATGGAACAAAAACAAACCTTTCAACGTTTAAATTACTTGGATGTAATCTATCTACTGACAATATAAAAACCTTTTTTAACATCCACAAAATAAGTCAAATGTTTATTGTATAACGGATCCATGTCACATGGTTAAATTAGCACGTAATGCCTTAGCAGAAACAAATATTCCATCTAAAGCTGGCTTAATCTCATTCAGTTATATTAAAAAACTGCATACAATTCAAGAAGAAGCAGATTTAAAACTTGCTAATAAATTAAGTTATAATCACGTTAATTTTTCAAATAAGAAAATGAATGTACTTTTGGCAGCACAGGTATTAAGTAGTGGTGTTGCTGATGCAATAGATTTTCTTAGAACAAGTGGAGATAAAAACTTTATAAATAGTGAAGCAACAACAGAATTTATTCGTATCATTGATAGATTATTTGACACGATGAATACAAGAAACGGTTTTGGTACAGGTTTTAAGTCACCTATGACGATTAACAACTTAAAATTAGTCAAACAATTTTTGATGATAGCATCACATACATTTACGAGTTTAAAAATAAATGACATTAATATTTTTGTCCATTCTCGAAGTACTTTTGCACTAGGATTTGTTATAAATTGTCAAAGTTTTTACAATTTTAGCACACGATCTATTGTACAAAGAAGTAAACGCTTTACGATATTTTTAGCATATAAGTGTTCTCAAGATCATTTAGAATTATTTTTTTCATGCATAAGAGGACGTGGTGGATGGAATGATAATCCTAATGCATTATAGTTTAAATGGGCTTTACGGCAACTTTTGTTTCGTAATTCTGTACGTGCTAGTTTTAATGCAAATTGTTTAAGTGACAATTACGAAGTACCCTCTATTTTAAAATTTCGAACGCCAAAACGTACAATACATGATGATAATTGTATAAATATAAATGAAGAAGAATTGCAAGCCCTATCAAATTTAATAGATAATGTAAATTTATCGTTTCTTCAACAAAATATTTTATATTATATAACGGGTTCTATTATTCGTACACTTCTTACTGAAATACATTGCCATCATTGCATAAATATTTTAATAGAAAGAAATATGGAAAGATGTAATACATTTCATACTTATGCAATTAATATCAATAAATACAATTCATTCACTTCTTTTGTTAATCGAGGAAAACTTTATTATCCATCAAATGTTGCGTTTCAAATTGTTCAAACTACAGAAAAAGCTTTCAAAATAGAATTAGCTTCAGGTCACATACAGAATAATTCTTTTAAACAAAATATTGTAATCAGAGTCATGCAATTATTATTGCCTAAAATAAAACAATTATTTATACCTGAACATCCTCTTCTTGATAATACGGGAAGTGAAGATTTGCATGAAATTCAAATAATTAAAGTAATAGCAATGAAGTATATAAAACTTCGCATTTTGACTTTTTGTAAAAAAATGACAGAACGACATTTAAAAGAACGTGGAACAAAACGCGCAAAATTGCATAAAACTATTTTATTTAGTCACGTATAATCGTTTCTTGTTCATCTTTATTTTGCTTCGTTTTTCTTTAGTCACAATGTGCATTGTGCAATATTTTAATTTGAGGCAATTGTGATTTGTTATTTGATTTTATTTTAATTATATATTTTATTTTAAATGTATATTAATTTTGTTTTACTTTAATTTCAATTGTGATTTAATTGTGATATTATAATTAATAAATGTAACAAAATTATAATATTTAAACAAATAAAATATAGAAGTGTTTAAATGTATTAAGTTTTTTATTTAATATATATGTATACATACATGTTATATATTAACAATTTTTATTAAACAATATACATTGTTTTTATTAAATAATTTTATAATATAAAAATAAATTTCAACATATAAATTTTATAATTATCCAACAATTTCATTTTTAAAGCATAAAATTTTATTTTTATGAAGGCGAATGTTTGTAGAACTAATAGTAGCTGTGAACACGTGACCGAGACTGTTGGTTAGATAGAGAGATCCGGGTCCAAACAGCTATCTCCATCTGACCGGTCGAGAACAAAGGCGTGCTCGTTCCAGTATGGTATATAGTTCAATGGTGTTATGTGTATATCTGTACGCGCGTCACAGATGTCTATACTAGTACTAGATCGCTAACTTTAGGCTTTGACGTATGGAAAAACTGAGGCTGGCAGGATTTCCGGTTTCGGCCATGACACTCTACAACAAAATGGCCGCTCAACAACTGCTCAACAACTGCTCAACAACTGCTCGGCATTTTTCAAGAATTTTTACAATATTATCAATTTGTATCACCACGCCGGGTATCACATGTGCATACGCACGTACAGAT